GGAATGCCTTCCTTGTCCTGGATTTTGGCTTTGACATTCTCAATGGTGTCACTGGGTTCCACCTCAAGAGTGATGGTCTTCCCAGTCAAGGTTTTCACGAAGATCTGCATCCCACCCCTCAGACGCAGGACAAGATGCAGGGTGGATTCCTTCTGGATGTTGTAGTCGGAGAGGGTGCGGCCATCTTCTAGCTGCTTTCCGGCAAAGATCAGTCTCTGCTGATCAGGGGGAATGCCTTCCTTGTCCTGGATCTTGGCCTTCACATTCTCAATGGTGTCACTTGGCTCCACCTCTAGGGTGATAGTCTTGCCAGTCAAGGTCTTCACAAAGATCTGCATTTTTTTATCTGCAATGACATAGCATGGAAAAATTAGAGCTCCGTGCATCAGAATACACATTTCTGAATATACAGAAACCTAACTTTACACTCAAAAATGTATTTTGAGGTAAAAACAAAGCATACATTTTATTTAATCACATATCAATTGCACTACAGTAGATAATATTGTTCCATCCTATACCCTATCATGAATATGAAATATTATAAGGTATTGAAGTAAATATTCTACTATTGCTGTATTTTTACTTATCACATTCCCATACTTCCCATTTCACCTGTGACTTCAATGCTAATATATTAAATAGCAACCCAGTTCATTTAGAAATTCAAGTTTTGCACTGATTTTTTGAATTTATTGCCACATTCTCCTATCACTCATATTAAAAAAAAATAAGCACTGCAAGTTTCTGCCCCTCAAAGTCACCCCTTAAGGTTTCAAATTAATAATCAAATTGCAACAAAACAATTGTTGCTAACCTTCCAATACAGCATCTTAAATGAAGCACACTTACAGTTATCGCATAGAATGGCTGTAATTTGCATTCTTTTTGACATCATCCAAACAACAGCCTGGAAAATCTTAGGTCAGAAGTTGGCACCATTTTTCTATGTAGGGACATTCTAGTCCCCATAAATACTGTATCTGACAACCAATATCCAGGCTATCTTGAGGTCCTATAAATAACTCCAGGAAACTGCTAACTCAGGTTATCCTGCAGCACACCTATTAGCATGTAAATACCGCATTTAACCATATCAGGAAATAATTCAAGGTTGCACCAATGGCCACGTAGTCATAGTTTCACCCAGCAGTCCTATCTCCAAACTGCCCATTAGGCACTTAACTCTGAGAAGGGCATTAGAAAGCTAGGCTTATTAAAGCACCAGCTTTTATACTGTTCAATAGGGTTTTATCAACCCTGCATAATAGTACACATACAGGTAGTCCTCACAATTCCTTTAGTGATTCAAAGATGTAACAGCACTGAAAAAGTGACATATGACCAGTTTTCACACTAAATAAGGTATAAGGTGTGGCAGCATCCCCATAGTCCTGTGATCAAACTTCAGACGCTTGGCAACTTATATTGTTTCAGTGTCCTGGAGTCATATCCTTTTGGGACCTTCTGATTAACAAGATCAGTGGGAAGCTAGATAAACTTAACCACCCCTAACTTACTTAACAGCAGTGATTCACTTAACTGTGGCAAGAAAGGTCATAAACCGGGAAAATCTTGCTTAACAATATCTCACTTAGCAACATAAATTTGGGGCTCAATTGTACTCCTAGAGGATACCTTGTATACAATTCCTCAGTTCAGATGCCTTGATCTCACTTAACATAATTTTTTGGCTCAATTGCACTCCTAGTGACCATTGCAGCATCCCCAGGGTCATATAAAAAAATTCAGATGCTTGGCAACTGACTCATATTTATGACTGTTGTTGTGTCCCAAGGTCACCTGATTCCCCTTTGCAAGGCTGATGTGGAAGCCAGATTCACTTAACCTGGTTACTAACAGAAACTGCGGTGATTCACTTAACTGTGGCAAGAAAAGTGTAAAATGGGGCAAAACTCACTTGAACGTCTTAACAGAAATTTCAGGCTCAATTGTGGCCACAAGTTGAGGACTACCTGCATATATTCATCTGTTTTAGTGCCTTGATCCCCAATCTCTATAAATTTAACAATTCAGATCCAATTGATGCAATAACACCTGCAATGTCACCTTTTGTAATCTTATTAATGAGCAGTGCAATTTAATTGCCCCTAATAAGATGGAGGGAGGAAAGGGGAAAGAGAGATGTGTATATATGGGGGGGGGGGGGGTAGAGGAAAAAAATTAAGTAGAATCTATAGATAGGGAAGATATACAGAGGAGGGAGTGGAAGCAGGGGAGAGATGATATATAGGAGGGGGGCTGGAAAGAGATAGAAGGATAGAGGGGGAGAGGAGATATACAGAGAGGGGGGAGCAGGAAAGAGGTAGGTAGAATGATGGATAAAGAGGGAGGTGGATATATATGAGAGAGAAAGAGCATAGGTAAGAGATAAAAGGAGAGAGAGAAGGAAAGAGAAACAAAAAGCTAGTAGTCACCATAGAAAAAACCTTATACCTTATTTAATGGAACAAATACCCATTTAGTGAGAGATTTACTTTCGAAGGAACCCCAAATCCACCGCCCCCCCCTTCTCCTTCAAATGGGTTCAGCTACAAATACCTCACAAGGACCAGTCCTAATTAACGCAAATGAAAGAGCGCCAGGCGGGGGGGGGGGGGGTGGGGAAGGATCACTTATACTCGCCTGGGAGGAAATCCTACTGAGAAGCGGAGCTTATAGCCTAAGGTGGTAGGAGAGGGATCAGGCCGTCGAAATCCATAACTGAGCGCTGCTCCCTTCCCCGAAGGCTGAGGTATTTATCGGAAAGTCGTCTTTAATTTTTTACTCTCAGCACCCCTTTTCTAAATGTTGACCTCTCGGGCGCCGAAAGCGGCACCTCCGAGCCCTCCCCCCCCCCCCCCCGCGCCCCCCCATCCCCCCCTTCCGGGGGTTAGTCAGGACTCTCCTCACGGACTAGCGCCTCGCCACAATGGCCAACAGTGACGCCACCCCGAGCCCTGTCCGAACAGGAGCAGCTAAATATCCCCGAATAAAATCGGGATTTTCTTTAAAAAAAATTATTAATTAAAAGTAATGTTAATCATAATCTGTTCATCTTACCGCTTCACTCAGGCAGCCTGAAGGAAATAAATAATATCGCGGTGACAATTCACCCAGCTTCCGAACTTTCTTCTTCGCAAATGTCTGCCCAGCAACGCGTCACTGATATTTATAGGGTTCCGCCTTAGTCGCCCCCGCCCTTTAGATTCACTTTAATAGCCTTCCGCGTGAAGAAATAGTCCCTCCGGAAAACGCCTTAAAAAGTGGATTCTGCGCCTCAATTTCCTCTCATTCGACGAAAAATTTAAGAAAAATTGAAATATATTAACTGATGTATGCTTCCCTGTTAATACCGGTCTCGAAAGGATGAGGTGGAGGCAGGGGAGAATGGATACGAAATAGAGGTAAAAAGTCCCTTGTCGTTGGAAGAATAATTCTACGAAGTCAAGAGGTGGGGCTAAAACGTTGCTGGGCCGCCATTGGTGGGAGACAGAAAGAACGAACGCTGATTGGCTCCCGCAAGATGCAATCAATAGGAAAGCTCTGGAAAGATCGGGACTCTGGGCTTGGGCGGTTGGGAGGGGAGGGAGAAATGCCTCAGAGAAGCCCACCTCTGATTGGTGCGCAGTGAGGTCATTCTTGTTGCTAAGGCCTTTCGGTCCCTCAGAAGCAGATTTCGAGAAAGGGCAGGAAGGAAAAAGGAAGGCTGACGGCCTGTTGGCGCATGCGTAGAAGAACAAAGTCGGTGGGGGTGGGGTGGGGGAGTAGGGCAGTTTTCAGGGGCAAAGGGCGGGAAAACGTCTCTGAGGCGTTTAATCACTTATCAAGAGTGAAACAATATAAGGAAAAATAAAATAAGCACAAAACACTTTTTTTTTCCGTTAGAAATCAGAGTATATTTTAGGTTCAAGGTTTTTTTTTCCTTTTGCCATTGCTTTTCTGAAGAGGAAGTTTGACTGCCTTGAGGAGAACAAGCTTAGTTTTGTTTGTTTTCCTATTTCAGCATGAAAGTTCCTTTTTTGGGGTACCACATATGGTTTTTAAAAAAAGGCATTAACATAGAAAAACAAAACAAAAAGGAAAGGGACATGAGAAAGGGAAAAAGATAGGAAAGGAAAAGAATAAGAGAAAGAAAAGATAGGAAGGAAGAAAAAAAGGAAAGGAAGATGAGAAAGGGAAAAATGAGAAGGAAAGAAAAAGAAGGGAAAAGACAGGAAGGAAAAATGAAAGAAAAGGAAGGAAGGAAAATGAGAAGGAAAGAAAGAAGAAGAAAGAAAAGGAAAAGACAGGAAGGAGAAAAGGAAGGGAAATGAGAAAGGGAAAAAGGAAGGAAGGTGAAAAAAAATATGTGAATGAAGGAGAAGAAAAAAAGGAGATGAGAAAAGGAATAAGATGAGAGGGAAAGAAAGGAGGGAAGGAAGATTAGAAAGGAAAAAAGACCAAGAAGGAAGGAAAAGGTAAAAGACAGGAAGGAAAAATGAAAGAAAAGGAAGGAAAAATGAAAGAAAAGGAAGGAAAATGAGAAGGAAAGAAAAGGGAAAAGACAGCAAGGGAAAATGAAGAAAGAAAAAGGGAAGATATGAATGAAGGAAAAGGAAAAAAGGGGAAAAGATGAGAAGAAAAGAAAAAGAAGGACGATTAGAAAGGACAAAAGACCAAAAAGGAAAGAAGCTGAGAAAGAGAAGGAAAAAGAAAGAAAATGAAATGCAAGAATAACACTCCAAGGTACTTTTTCTTAAAATGCCAAGGCCCTCATGTCATAAATAGTTCTGAAAGGACAGAGTCTTCTTATCAACCAGATTTGGTTTCCAAAAACAAATGGAAGGCAACAACAGAGCTGCTAAAGGTTGTTTTTCTCCCAGACTGCTCTAGTTCTGTTCCTGGAAAATCCTGTTTTTCCTCTCCTCCAGGAAGAAGGAAGCCTGAGACTGAGCTTGTTTGCTTCTTTGGAGGGTTTTATTATTTTTGAAGAGGCAAAAGGCACCTGAAATCCAATCTTGTGTTTATGCTGCTGGCTGCAAGAGTTTCCTCCTTGGATCTGTCCCAAAAATTTGTCCCTCTGCCTGAGGGAGGAGTAGAGAACAAAACTCTAGCGTGACTATAACTTGTTTTAATATACAGATAGTCTTATGACTGGTCACTCAGTAATCATTCAAAGTTACAACAGATCTCCCCAGGCCTTCTTATGACCCAAATTCACATTTTGGCCATTCAATGCCTAGACCGCATTTATGATTGTTTCCACAGTCTTGGCACCACAAATTTCATCTTTTTTTCTCCCCTGGAAACCATTTATTTCTGTTTTCCGACTAAAAGTACCCATTGCAGACAATGGATTCACTTGATGACTACTGCAAAAGAGTTTGCAAATTGGGCACATTTATGCGGTGACCCATATAACTTAACCATCATTCCAAACTCGATTATGGGTATAAGTTAAGAACTACCTTTATAAGCAGAATTACCTTCTGTGACTATTTGAAATTTACTATTATGCTGGCCTAAGATTGTAATAAAAATTTAATTGATTAACTTCAACCAAAGTTTGATAGCAAATGGATCTGGGTATCTTCTTTCTTTATTGTACCGCTTTTTCTAAGAGAAATCCTAAAAGAGAACTGTTTGAAGATGGATTAGAAACAGTTTGGCTTGAAGAGTGAATACAACCACAATCGGGTGTCCAATAAAAGCAACAATGATATTTGAACTATCTTTTGCTCATAGTGCAAGTACATAAATTGTCTCATTTATAGTATGACATGATCCATGGGACATCTTTTGTCTTGCGCAGGTGACCATGGAAGCTTTTGAACTATGAAATCTGTATGTCAACAACACTGTCTTGCTTTTCCATAGTTTACTGAACAAAGTTCAACTGACAAGGATCCGTGGAAGCTGTTAAGCTGCCAAACATAATTTATTTACCAGAAGTGCTGGTTTTGTATAAAGTTCTAATCCAAAACCAAGCTGAACATGTTTTGGCTTAGCATGTGGCAGAAACCCATCATATTGGAAGGCCCTAGACTAATAAAAGATATATTAAGTGGAGATTATGGACTTGTTTTCAGCTATAGACACTGTATTCAAATCAAAGGTTAACCAGGTCTGTAAAAGGGGTATTAATAATTGTATTAACAGTACAACAGAATTGGAAGGGGCCTTGGAGGTCTTTTAGTCAAACCCCCTGTTCAAGCAGGAGAACCTATACCAAGTGGCTTTCCAATCTTGTCTTGAAAACCACCAGTGATAACAGAATAACAGAGTTGGAAGAGACCTTGGAGGTCCTCTAGTCCAACCCCCTGCACAAGCAGGAAACTATATACCATTCAGACAAATGGCTGTCCAATCTCTTAAAAACCTTCAGTGCCGGAGCACCCACAACTTCTGAAGGCAAGCTGTTCCACTGATTAATTGTTTTCGCTGTCAGGAAATTTCACCTTAATTTTAAGTTAGATTTATCTTTGTTAAGTTTCCAACCATTACTTCTTGTCCAGCCCTCACATGTTTTGGAGAATAGGCCAACCCCCTCCTCTCTGTGGTAGTCCCTCAAATATAGGGAGACTTCTAGAAAGTCACCTCTATTCCAAACTGTGAGGATATCTTGATAACATCTTGCAAACAATTGGGTTATCTGTTGAGGACAGATGCTGATTGCATAGTTTCTGTTTGCACAATGAAGTCTTGCTGTGCACAGCTTCACTTGCTTCCCTCCTCCATAGATGCATATCAAAGCCACCTTAATTTGTTTTAACCTTGGCTATATTTTTAGTTCAGTGTCTTAATTAAACCCAGCCCACAGTTTGTGATTCAGCATATTTTGCAAGCCTACAAAAAGGGCTGAAACAGCTGAGTTGTTACACAAATGTAACCAATTGGCTTCAATAGATAGTAGACAGATTGCATTTTCTGTCCCAAACTGTCCCCATCCATCCCTATTAAATTTCTTTTTTTATGTGTGATAAAGCTGAATCTGCAATACTTTGCTAAAGAGGATGGTTTTGTGGAGAACCTCCATTGGGGGGAGATTCATTGGCCTTGCATGAATGCAGAGAATTATCTTCCCTTTGTACACTTTCCAAGCTTTCTATATTTTCCTAAAGACAAGAGAAAGTAAACTAGTAGGGTCATCTTTTTAACCAATATTTTTTACATATTATTTTATTTTGGAGATACCAGCTGTCTCCAAAGCAATTCATGGCAACTCAAAGAATAAAAGAAAATACAAATACTGTTATATAAATAGCACTCTGGATCACAGTACAAGTAAGTCCTTTCTTAATGGTAGCAATTGGGAGCAGCAACTCTGTCAATAAGCAACATGGTCATTAAGCAAGACATCACATGATGATTATGGACTTATGAACAACGTTCACAGTGGTTGTGGAAGCGGAGTATCATGTGACTGCAACTTGTTGATTTATCACTCCATTGACTGGACTGGTCCATTGACTGGGCAGAAGCCAGCTGTGAAGCATGCAAATGGTGGTCATATGACGATGGGATGCTGCAATGGTCCTAAACACATTGTTAATGGCCTGAGGGTATTCAAAAGCCTCCTTCAAAGTAGAAAGACACACCACCCTTCCTCTTAAAGAAGTTGGCACTGACTGGCTGTCTTAATCCAAGAGGGACTTGGATCCCACAGACAACTGAATTAATAGCACAGAGAACGTTGTCCAGTTACTCATGAGTCACCGCCTCTCACTCAACCCAGATCGCACAAGACCTCGCTCCTAGTCTGTCCGAGTAAATTCAGCATGAATCCGAGAAACGTTATTCACCAAAAAGGCAGATTATTCCTTACAGCAGCCTTGCAGATAATCTTAATAAGGGCCACTGGGCAGTTATCAACTGATGCAATAAGAGTAGACAAATCTTAATGTTTCACCACCTTGGATCACCACCTTGTATCTAGAACGTTATCTATAATATGGGCTCTTACCCATATTTAATCAGCTTTGCAGTGAGTCTTCCTCTGTTAATTCTCCAATTGTCTCTTCTGGCACTTCATCTCCTGGAGCTACTCAGTAAATTAATTTTTTTGTCCTGAGCATAGTGTACAGGGAGAAGTGGTGATGGGGTGATGAAGTCCAAGGTGACTGACACCACCAGTTCCAGATGGTGATCAAGGTCTTGGTCAAATCACTCACTGGATCCTTAGCGAGAAGCTCAATCTCTTTGG